CCCCAAAACCCCAAAACCCCAAAACCCCAAAACCCCGCCATTAGCAAAATCGAAAGATATTTAGTAAAAATAATCAAATTTATTAATAATTATTTATTTCGAAGCATGTAATTGAGTTTTGGTGAAAATAAGAAAAGGGACTTTAAGAATCTGGAGAAATCAACTACTAAATCAAACAAGGAACACATTCAATCATCTGAAAAGTATTTAGTAGATGAGGGTTCTAAAACTTATCTGACATAGAGACTACTTGATTCGCTTGAGATTAACAATCAAAAGTCTGACCAAATCTTGAAATTAAATGCACCTGAGAATTGTTAGATATCAAGTAATGATCATGAAACTCAAAGGTATAAAATTGGTTTAACTATAATTACATATTTAGAATATCAGAAAGGGAAAGTTAGCATATTCTAACACAAAACTCACATGATGAGATTAGTCAGGATTATTCACAAATTAGCATAAATGGATATTCTTAAGAAGTTAGAGAATGTAGCTTTGATGAATAAGCCATGCAAACCAAAAATGAAGAGCTCAGACAAAATAATTGGTCTTAGGTGATTAAGCAATGCAACTCAATGAACATTATGATAAGCTGTTTCTAAACATGCTCAAACTGGTACCTTAATATGTTTTATCAAGGAAAAAATCATAGAAATCTGACCAAAATGAATAAGATTGTAAATTTACATTAAACTCAACTAAACTTTATATTTTAGCCTGCTTCAAGTTGCCCTCAAACTCTCTATAATTGGAAATAAGTTAATTATCCAGAGGAAATGATATCATCAGATCTCATTGATTAAATGGTGATATTTGAGAATATCGAGAGATTATTCAAGTAAGATGCTTATGATTTGTTAGAAAGCTATTCATCACAACTTCAATCGACATAATAGAGTGAGGTTAATTCAGAAAGAGTTTCTGAATTTAGCTAAGATCAATTTATTTCTTAAGAGAGGTCACAATGACATTCTTTGAACCCTCATTCACAAAAGTAAAATCAAGCAGGACTGAATAGCTTAAAGATAAAATCTGATAATTTTCCCTTTTAGCCTACTTCTAATCAATACACTCATTATAGAAATAAGTTTGGTATTCCATCTTCTATTGGCATATCAAAATCTTCCATAGCATCTTCAGCTGAAAGATCTGCTGATGTCTTAATTTGCTTAGAATTCAGAATTATCAAAGATCCTTAGGATTAATTTGCACCTATTCGTGAAATAAACAGTCATTTTCAGAATAATGAGTTCTACTTTGAGCTTGGAGGCTATATTCATGGAAAGCAAGCGCTTAGTGAAAAACTAAGAATGAAAATAAGTGGAAGACAGATCATTAAAAGCATTGAGTCAAGAATTAAGGAGTTTCAGGATTTACAGTACTAAGTGGGATGGACTCATGAGGCTAAAAAGAATAGCTCAACTACTTATTTTGTTCCTTTAATTGATGATAGGCAAAGAATAATTATTGAATTTTATTCCCCTAAACTGTAAGTAAATTGACGAGAAACTTCCTCTATTAAACTAACAAATATCACTTTATTGTATCACTTTTTTAATTAAATCTTAATGCTTGATATATAGAAGTAAATTGCAGGATTTTAATCCTCAATTCAGTAAACTTTTATTTTGCAATGGATAGATAAAAAGAATTTTTATCTAACTTTCAATCAATTTATTCAATGAGATCATGCAAATTAAGACAGATAACATGATTGGCTTATAATATATTCAATAAGATCTTCTTAAACAGAGAAAAGCAGAAAGAGATAGGCTTAAGAAGAAAAGAAACATTCTTCTAAGAGAACTAGGATAGTAATCATTTTAACTTCCAAAAGAAAGAGTATCACATCTTATTCTTTAAGAAATCAAGTCATTGAATCAAAAGTAACTTAACAATGTTGAAAATATTGAAAATCCAGAGATAAGGGATAATGATGAAGAAATGAACATTATTGGAAAATTTCTTTATAGATGTGAAGAATTCATACAGATTGATGAAGATACTAGAATAATAGATTTGATGAGAGTTCTTAATGATTTAGCTGCTTTGGGAATCAGATTTATTGACAAAGATTTTATTGATGAAAACTCGGACATACATGTATTTAGCCCAATGATATCAATAATTTCATTTGAGTTCAAAGAGATAAAAGAAAAGATCAGAATTGAGATCCCATTTTCGTCTATCTACAGTCAATCCCTGCCATTTGACTATATCTTAGAAGTCTTACCCTAAGGGACTTGGTACATCAAATTGATTCAATTGGATCTTGCTACTAGCTTTATTGGATTGAACTGGGTATACAAATTGAACCTAAAATCCAAAATTTAGCCTATTAAACTTCCTAGCATTTTAATATACTACAAATTCGCATCTCATTACTCCTAAATAGTGAAAGCTGAATAAGAATAAAACACAATAAACTGCTAAAGTCCAATTAAATTAAAACTTAGAACAATTGGATTACAAGCTAATTCTCAAAAGCTTATATTAGAGTGGCTAAAGAGTGGAGATAATAATATTCATAAGATTGATTAAGTAATGCAACGCTACTATGAAATAAACTCATTGCTCAGAGAATTCATTGATTTGGATAAGGAGATCCAGAGCAAGAGAAATTTCAAAAGATCACTCCTAGATAAAGAACTTACTGGTGAAGTATTTCATCAGGATTTCCATGATTATCAAAACGATTTCTTTGAGTAATGATTAAACAAATAATGCTCTGCAAAAAATTGAATGACTTGAAAAGCAAAAGTCATATATCAATGTAAGATGTTCAGGTATTTATTAAGCCTGCATTAGGTAAATATCAACTGTAAGAGTTTATTTTTAAGAATTTAACATTGCATTCAATTTTTATTCATTAATCTTACAATAATTGAAGTATGATGGGGTTTTGGGGTTTTGGGG